TTTGAATTTGTGTAATCCATTCCAACAAATATCAACAAAAAAATTGTTAAAAAATTTGCAATATCACGAAAAAATCTATGTTTGGCATAATTAGTGTGACTAGTGTTAGTGGAAAAAAGTGTTTGTGTTTTGCGTGAAGAGATGCGTGGTGTGTGGAAATTAGTTTTACTGAGTAATGAGTTTGAGTTAATTTTGTTGTGAATGATTTTATAGAGAAGATTGTTAGGGATTTATACAATCTTACATTTTGATTGTTAAAGAAATTTGAATAGTTACAGATACAGAATAGACACAACGAACTTTAACGAGAACAGATAATGTAACGGCTAATCCCAAGTGCTTAACGCCATGTATAAAAACAGTAAACATGTTTGTAAACATTTTCGTGCAGGAAAACGTGAGAACCATTGCTCATGTGACATTATAATGACGACTTACTTCTAGAATCTTCTGTAGATCATGCGTTTGAAAACATTGTTACGATAGATTCTGTCGGTATGTCTATACTACTGTTTACTCGCGTACATAATAAGGAAATCTTCTATCAGGAATTTGTTCCTAGCAGTTGTTCATAGAAGAAGAGCATCCGCAACGAAGTTATCTAGTGAATTTATATAATACTATAATTTGCGTATCAAGTACTTTTTTTATAAAAAAAATCCTTATAGATTTAAAAGTACGAAAAATTATACACTAGGAAATTTGGTATAATGTTTAATTTTCACATGTTACAATCAATACAGAAATACATCATTCATACACGATAATAATTTGTAATATAAACAACAAACACTTAACTACATATTATATTGTTCCTCTATCACACCTCTCCCGAGCTTTTTTGTTTGTTTTTATTGCTTTTGTTGTATTGCAAAATGTTTACCATTTTGACAATTGAGAAGCAATAAAAACAACTTTGTGGAGATAGATAACTAACAACTATAACTAAATGTACACCTAAAGTATCGTTTAAAAGACAATAAAATAAATGAAGCAAATTATAAATTGATGTTATCGATCAATCAATACGAGATTAATGTTTACTTCACTGTCGTTCAGGAAATGTACCTACTTGTTAATTTTCGTATCATAGATATAGGTTGGATTTTTCTAGACGTTTCATACAATCACAATAGGAAATGCACGTGGCTCGTTCTTACATGAGAATAAACGTGACTGAATACAACCTTCGTACGACAGTGAGAAAATACTAGACAAGAATTCATTAGGAATCATGTTTAATCTATGTCGATTATCTTGATATCGTATTTTGTCTGTGGCAAACAAATGTTAATGTAAACTTCTTTTAAAGTAAAGCATATTATCTGTATTGGAGTTTCGGGGAGTAGGTGAAAGTTTGTGAAAATGTTGGGAGATATGACGAAACCGTTGTAATGGCTAAGACAAAGCCCTTTGACGTAAAACAGTAAAAGATAAAAATTATACAAGATGAAGATTATATTATTATAATTTAAAACACCATTCAGATAGCCATACTTTTAATAAAGATAAAGTTGAACTCCGGCGTACTGACTAACTGTATATTTAAAGAATAAAAGGTGTATCGTATTTTTTAAAAAGAAATAATAAAATAATGATTGAATCTCAGATAATTGTTGGTTGTAACATGAATGAAATATCGGTATACCTTTACCGATATGTCTTCAAAATCACAGATTTGAATCTCCTTTGATCTAGGTTTTGTCTAAAGTTATTAGGAGAAGTTTTATCATTTCTCTTAGTAACTCTTAAGCAAATATAACTATTGTTAACAAATTTTCTTACTGTAATACTGAAAATCTATATTACGTCCTTAAAGGAATATCGAATCTCTAGATAAATCGCTCACAGTTCTTATTTGAAACGAACTAGTAAAATGCTTGCTGCATTATCCGACTTTGCGTGCATAATGAGTTGTTTTGACAATGTGTTATGCATTACCTTTACGTGTATTCAAATTTGAAAAATACATCGTGCATACACACGCGGTGGCGGCACGCCAAAAGCCACGTTTCGACCACGTTCGGATTCATGTGCTTCTGTGACATCACTCACTTTGCGGAGCTAAAAAATCGCCCTACAATACTAGCCAATACAATTCCGTTTCGTTTCGAAGTCAGATATGAGAAATCTAAGAACACGAAGCAGATGTCTGAGAAAAGAGTTTTCACTTAAAGATGAAAATGAAAGGTGGCCTCGAATTTACGGGCGTGTAATTTTAAATTAATCAAGGTTAACAAATATTGCTCATCCTTAAACTTTAATATATTATTTTATTTCATATTTTATCGTCAGTTAAGTATTCTAAGACTGAAAGAAAGTCAAAAATCCTCACCAGCCCAAGCTCCATAAATTCGTTTAGGTATTGTTCAACTGTAAACTAAAATTGGAATGCTTCGATTATTATACTAACACTTACGGACTATCTTGTGTAGTACAAGTACATAATTAAATATTTCAATTTAGCAGTTTGATCTAAATAGGTAAAACACGAAAGTATCCTGATCTTATTCGTTTCTGAGGCAGGCTTTTACTTTAAAAGCTAGCTAATAATATTGGTTATTTAACGATGTATAATGAACTATAATAATTCCCAAATGAAAACAATACTCAAATTAGAATCACAATATAAAATAGTAAAATCGACTATTGTTTATTTCAAAGCACAATGAACAATGCAATTAATAAGGACGCAAATAAATAATATATTTTATTAATACTTTGTGTGACACAATGATAGTTCTTTTATTGTCTTTTGGAATTTTATTCTGAAATTTAGTAATCTATAGTGCATTCTTCCGTCACATCATCGATTAAAATAGTGGAGAAGATGGACAAGACACATTGCAATTATCGCAAAGTATAGATCAACAGACAAATGTTTAATAAATAAATAAGTATAATACTTTGTTTTTCTTTTCCTTCATAAATGCCATTTAGTTACAGCTGTATAGTAGGTAGTTCAATTCAAAACACTGAAAATCGTTTTATCAGATTTTCAAAACACATTTTCGATTTTTAAAAATCTGCCATTTATAATTTATAGAATATGCTAAATAATACAACTTACAAATAAAAAATAAATATTTTTTCTATCCTTAAGCTTAGTTTAACTTAGACAAGACAATTTTGATTCTAATTTTAACCATTTCCAACCAAATGTGAACCATAATTACTAATCGAGTTAAAATTCAGTATGTATAAGTTATAAGTAACTTATTTCGCACATACAATTTGCTGAATTTGAAGCGCATGCGACGATAATATGAGTCATAGCGATTGAGCATGGCGTATACAGCGCCGCAACGTGCTGGGACATAGATATATAAAGATATAGAGTCGACCCCATTCTTTAATTTAACGTATGATGTCATTATCATTCCTAAAATTAGAGTTATGACGATATAATCAAAACACTAATTTTGATTTCTCTTTTTCAATAGAGAAAAATCTGCATAATTTAAAAGCTTAATAATAATAGGTGTATTTATAAAACTGGTGTTTAAAGTCTCCTGTTTTTGATTTTAATAGCAGCTTAAATTTTTGTTGGATTCAATTAAATCATATTTATCGTTTAAGTAAGCTTAAAGATATGTAGGTATTTTAAATTTTATAAGAAAAGAGACTTAAAATTTTCTTTCCTATTAATTACAGTATGTTGATTTGTTGTTTTTATTAATATCATACAAGGGTTTATATTTTCTGAGGATAAAATTAATTAAGTAATTTAAGTTTTAGCAGAACTATAAATTTAAAATGTGGCATGCGCAATATGACTCTTCTATACCTTGGTTTTGTAATGAAAGAGTAATGTGACTTAATTAAATGAGAAAGAGCGACAAGCACGGGGACAAGTGAAGAAGCGACGAAACTTGATGGAAGGCGAAATATCCAAGCCATTTAACACGATACGCAGTCAACCTATTTTGATTTTGGATATTCAGAAATCCACAGACTGACCCGACAGCCGTTTAAACATCCTTATTATCTGTGGTCTATGGTTCGTGGACTGGACGGAATGTAGATATTCCCACCACCATTTAATATTCAGATGTCCAGACTAAGTTTAACATATTTCAGGGAAATTATAAATTTATTACAAACATATTCGACTCATTGGAGATCGAATCCACGACCCGATTATGAGCCATATATTGCTTATAATATACCAACGAGCTCCACAAAATACGTCATATCGGGAATTCTTTGTGCGTATACTGAAAGACTAAATTTATATGTGGCCAGTCTTTTTTTATCTAATCTGCGTATAGACAGATAATGATCACCGGTATTTTGTAAATGTACACACGTGTTGATCCATGCGAGGTAAGCTTTATTGGAATACGATGAGGTGGTCGCGTGGGGATACCGCACTTAAAAAACTGACAGTATTTTGTTTTGTTTTTTTGTTTTATGAAGAGTTTAAATAATTTAATGTCAAAAATGTATTATAGGAAATTCATAAAAATATTGCCAATTTCGACGAAATAAAAACATTATAAATAAAAGAGTATTACGTTTGGCAGAAAATATAGAACTGTATTAAGTCAATTTCGGACCGAATTAAATATTATACACCGTTTAAAACACAACAAGTGACCTAACTATAAGATCCCCAAGATCAAGAGACCAAATGAAATAAAAAAAACTTATATGTACTTAATAAATATTTTATGTGCATAAAAAACCTAACTGATACTCTAAAAATGATATGTTGGCAGTAAATTCGATTTGAACTCAATCTAATCTAAAGAACTCAAAGAAATCGTTTTATTTTTTTTAAATTTCGGGGTGATTATATTTTTAAGATGGTATCACTAGTTTCTATCCCGCTTTGGCGCTACAGCGGCGACGCAATGGATTGCCCGGGCCTTCGATTTTCACACAAGCGTCGCTGAGCTAACTTCGCGTTCAGCGCTTGACAAGAACGCACGTAGCATCGCGGAAGCGTTCGATATTTGAATTGTGTTTGTGTTGCCATCAAACTGTGTTATCCAAACATGTGCGAGAAACGTACGAGAAAATTTAAAAGAGGTTCGTGTTATATTGTTTTTGTATTACCAGTAAGGTCCTTTGTTTGCGCGGTGGCGCCGCTGTCGGCGGTTTCACTGACCTACCGCAAACAATGCATTATACGTAGACATTCGTTTTATCATAAAAAAAAAATTAGAACATAATATTGAACAAATATCAATAACAAAGGATACTTCAAACTTTTTAATTTAATTTATTATTTTCGTATAAACCGAAAAAAATTGATAAGAAATAGTGCTATTTATTGCGTGATTTTAAACAGAATGTCTCGTGTATCTTGTATCGTGAAAATGAATCATGAATGATATCTACGTGGTTTAATGGGAGTCACTAAATATTACATATTTGAATCACTTACAATACCTACTTATACTCTAAAGCCTGTACACTTTTTATCCTTGCACAAAAAACGTACTCCAAAAAAGTTATTTAAATATGCATAAAATAGAGCACAAATTTAACATGGATTTCTTACATTTATTTATGGCAAAGAAGACACCTATGTCGTGACTCGTGACTCGGTTGTAATGACGCCATAAGACATGACGTCATTATTGCATTCCGTCTTCGCTCTTCACTAATGTTATGACGCAAAATAAGAAAATGAAAACATCTAGTATGTGTTATATCGTTGAATGATATTTCAATTCACTATTTTTATCAATTTGTTAATAAAACAGAACAGCGTCGGGTTATTTACAATAATTATACCTTAAAGGGATTTAACTATTTTGTTGGAAATTTGCATAATTATAGCTTTCTTCAATTGCAATTAGTTGACTTACTCAGTTGTCGCAGCGACCAAGTATAGTACTGTTTTAAATGAAGTCGTAACTAACAGTATTATCATCTCACTTTGTAGGATGTCTTCTGTCAAACTTGCTCCATAGCACTATCCTCTTCAATATTAACAGTCTTTTGCATCGTGACTACACTGTATAAAGGTGTTAGCATTGATAAGGCCGTACCAGCAGGAACGCTCACTCACTTTAAACTCTCTCTTGGATAAATAGTTTCTTCAGGGAATCCTCATTACTATTAAAACTAACAGCATACCTAAGTGTTAAAATTCACATAAAACAGTAACTAATAAAGCATTGTATCCAAATTCCGCATTGTTGAATAAATGTTTTATTTTTGCCGCGGTCGCGTACCCTATCGTACAGAACGGTGTTAAACGAATCGTAAATTAAAAAAAAAAGACAGATAACAGTAGACGCCTTCTAGCCTGAGCTTTAGTATAATCAAATAATTAATTTTATCACAATATATTCGCGAGAGGTCTTTGATTCCAGTTCCTGGATGCATATTAACAGGTAACATGCATAGGTTAGGCACAGAACGGTATCACACAGCACGCATGTAAATCATTGATTACATAATATTTCAGATTTAATCGTTTCCACGCATGATTCAGAAGTTAAATTCTAATATATAGAGTACAGACATCTTAATTTCTGTAGTATACTTTTAATGTGCCACTTCTAGATTTTTGAAGTTTAGATTAGGGGTCATCCATAAAATACGTCACACGAATTTCATGATTTCTGAGACCCCCCACCCTAGTGTGACGTGTTCGTTTTTTTTATGACATTATGGGCATGAACTCGTCGACAAAACAATTGAAACCGTATTGTTCTAAAGATAGAGTTGGAAATATTAGATTAGTACCTCTAGATACATTAGATTTTAAAATGTGATGTCACGAAACTTAGGACCCCTCCCACCCTTTGTCCCACCATGTCACACTTTGTCGACCCCCCTCCCCCCTTTACGTGTACATTTACACGTGGACGTTGGTATTTTATTCTCAGTGATCTCCGGTTCATTCACCGCGTACTTTTTGTACGCGTATTCCGTAGTTCGTAGACATCTCTATATTTAAAGTAAACTTTAAAAAAATACCTACAAAACTCTAAAACGCGAAATACACAGTTATTTCTTTTTGACAGCAACCGGACATTTTGAATGCCTTACAATGTTTTATTTATATACAATAAACGGTTTAACCAATTTTGATAAACTCTTTTGTTTTACTACCAACTAGGATTAACTAGGAATGGCTAAATGGCGTCAAGTATTAACTCATAATAATTATTAATTCATAGAATACGTTTGTTCAAGATGGGGAAGTTAAAATTATTGTTTTTTTATTTCGATTTCATTAATGAGTAATAGATTATTCTGTAAAATGTCATTAAATATTCACACGTGCTTCTGCTAGACACGTGACATATTATGTATGTCGAGGTTATATATTTTATCATGAGCTAGCCGCAATTGTAAGAAAATTCGTATTGAGGTAATGCACTAAGTGCAAACCTCAATTCTTTTATCGGGAGATATTTTGTTATTTAACGGAAATTGTTATGGTAACAGCTGTTTATCATATTAGCTCCAATTCATTGGGCCTTGGTAAATACTAAGTTAAGGCAGTTTCACACTTATTTTACTACATATAGATTTGTATTATTGGTTTTGATATATGAAGTGATTATCATCTTCATAAATACAAAAATTCAACCATTTAAAACGCGAAGTATTTTTGTCAAATTGATTTAATTTAAATACCAACGTAAAAGAATAATTAAACGTGTGTGTTACTCGCGTAAAAAAACTCACCTTCATACAAGTTAACTTAAGTTACGTTATTTCCAGTTGAACTCGATCTTCTTGTCTAAAGATGTCTTTTGTTTTTCCAGGTTCGAGTGTTACTCGTCTCCGCGAGGCGAGGCGCCTCCAAAGGCTGCAGTGGCTAGCGACACCAATAGTACAGGAAGAAACACCCAGACTCGTCACGCAAAACACGCCCGAGAAGGCCGCACAAAACCGCCTCATATTAGACCTGGCGTGGAAAACTCTAGCTCTGATGCACAAGAACCGCCTTATTCAGGAAAAAATCGTCGCCCTACAGAAGGAGACATCCGAATTTGTGTCAGCCATCATGAGCAACCCCGAAAACAAACGACGTTACTTAGAATACGTCCGCCTTTACAACGCGGGTCAATTGCCAGATTTGAAAAAAGAAATTGAGTCCAAACTATATTTGAAAACAGAACCGGAATAAATCATTTAGAATCGAATGATTGAGTGACTGATATTAATCGTTTATTTGCATGTGATATTATTTGTCTTTCCTAAACTACACTGTCGCAAGTATTGGTGTTGAAAACGCTAAGCGCGTTACTATCTCGAACTGAGTATTTGGTTTATTATTTAGGTACTTATTTATACCCTTATTACACTATGGTTTATAATCGATTATAGAAGTATCGTAGACTATATATTATATTAGTCGTTTTTCAACTCCAGCAATAATAAAATCAAATTCAGTGTCTTATTATAAAAAGTTGTGGCTACTGTAAGAATCTTTCTTGTTGTTAAATTTTAATGAGGTTGTAATAGAAGAGGCTGTTAGTGTTTATATTATCTTCGTACCATTTAATAAGTATACATTTAGTCCCTATTTAAAGTTTGAACTACCTGTTGCTAAGTTTTGTAGTAATATTAAAGTTGTGAAGGCTAGAGAAAAACTTTAAACAGCTGATAAACGAATATAGCCTTTGTCGGTTAAAGTTCAAGTGGTGGATGTTGCATGAATTGATCGTAATCTGCTTCGTTATGTCAAATGTAATAAAATGCGTCGAGTACTTGGTACGAAGTTCTTAAAATACTCTTAGGTTATTAATGTTAAAAGGTAATGTTTTTCATCATTGTTTTACATACAGAGTCACATTTTTTTGTACAAATGTTTTATCTCGTTCAATTTTTAATGTAAGAACATACACATAAGTTTGACGAAATGTTAGTTACAATTTGTGTAGTGCCTACTTACAAAAAGTATTCAGATTTTGGAGAAATTACGTAGCTTTGTTGTTTGCTTTATCTACCTTTTTGTCTATACTAAAGTTGTAAATGTCATAATTTATATTTAAGTATTGTTCCAGAACTTACGCAAGACATGTTTAGTTTATTCAACTTTCCTTTATTTATCGTCTTTGCAAAATTTAGAGTATTATAAAATATGAAAGTAGTTGAATAGGCCTCCAAAATTAAAGTGCATTTATCTATTACCTAGGATTTAGTTTTCGAAAGCACAGATCTACCAAAAACTGTGTTCATTTTATTGTGGCTTCAACAATGTTATTTACCCTACGAGTATAAGTAATTTTTTAGTAAACACAAAATTAAATTAAGTGTTAGTTTTTAAGACACCATTGTTTTTAACGCAAAGCGTAATTCAGTATGTGTGTACAAATTTTAAAAGATTGAAAAGTTTCAATTGTTGCCCAATCACATAACATTATACCTGTTTTGAATTGAATAAGATTTCTTTCTTAAGTACTTATGTAATTATAGAAGAAAGCAGCACTTAAAACAGAAATATAAGATGTCTCCCTTAGTAATCCTAAGCACAATTCATAAAAACCAAGAAAATGAATAGATTTCCAGAGGTTTTGTAAAAAAATAATTAGGAGTAAATGTCCATATTACTAAAATAATGATATAGGTATACCTGTATTCTTTGTAAGGCGCAATATTTTAGGACATTGTACCTACACTGTAATTGTATCTATTTCTTTACGCTTATCAACACCATTAAAGAGTTTTTATGGTTATAATGCTTATATTGTGTAGCTCTTAAGTTAAGCTTGAAATAAACTAGTCTTTCATGAAATTTATTTTTATTTAGCTAATACTTTCAGACTCACAGACACATCTACAATCATTTGATATACAATTTATATTCGCAAAAGTTTGGGACATAATCACCTATGTCCCAAAGCCATATAAAAAATTGGTTTAAGTTAATTTTAAGTGTTTATAACTTTAGATCCCCTTTTTCGATCGATGATTCAAATCGTAAAAGTGGTGCCATCTCACTCGAGGAACTACGCGAGGGTATAATATTTGAAACCTTTATTATATTACAATATTGAAAGCAATTATCTGTATTCCCGAAGATGTTTAATAATTTATTTATTATCAAATATTTATTAAGTGATTAAATCTTTCGTGATTTTGTAATGTAACATTTCTACTTATTTTTTTATTATTTTATGGGATATTTTATATTACTATTTATCAAAAATATCTGTTTAGAATGAAGAGCCATCAAACTAATAAGAAGAATAGTCAAATACTGTCTGTAGTTTACGCGAGTAGTACACATTTAAATAAAACACTAACTTTAAACGAATGTTATGTTATTTAAAAGAATAGTTGATAATTGTCATTTATATCAAAGGATGTCAACATTGTCAACATTCTACATGACACTCTGTACCCGTCTGTACTCTGTGTCAAAAATCAAAACAATAACATTCATATCTCTTTTGAAACGGTTTATTTTCCAATTAAAATATTACAAATAATAAATCTTAAGACAATTTTAGTGTTTAAAACACAAATATGAAAGCTCTCATTCAACGAGTTATGCAAGCAAATGTTACAGGTAAAATTTTATTAAATACTTGGAGGCAATAACCTGCAAGTTTTCCTTAATTCATATAGAAATTGTACAATAATTATTTTAGTATATAAAAATGAATTACAGTGTAATTTTGTTTTCCTCTCATTTACAGTTAATGGTGAAATGATTAGTAGTATCGGACAAGGATTGTGTGTTTTTATTGGGATTTCGAACACTGATACCGTTAAAGATATGGAGTATATGTGAGTACTATGTGCCTAGTTTAAGTCAACACCAAAAATGATGTACCATTTTCTATAAACTACAAATAAATGGAATTGTTAATGAAATGCATTACACATTAATTATTTAATTTATTATGTTAACTTTTCAGGGCCCGTAAGTTACTCTCTCTAAGGTTATTTAACGATAAAGAGGATAAAAAATGGAAACAAAATATAGTTGATGCAGATTATGAGTTACTATGTGTCAGCCAATTTACATTATATAACACATGGAAGGTAATGCAGTATTAAGTTCTTGTATTTCCCACATATATTGTTCTTGTAATGGGAAATCTCATTTTGCTTATTGAGCATGAGCAACATATTTTTATGTATGTTTAAACTTTATTAACAGGCAAGTCAGTCTCCTGTGCCCTGCCCAATAAAATACTATTCTTAAACCATTGGGCTAAAGTGATGTTCCCAAAGCAATACATATGACACACAGTTTTATAAATAATTTTCCATTTCCAGGGTAATAAACCAGATTTCCACCTTGCAATGCCCGGAGACAAATCCAAAGAGGTTTATGAACAGTTTCTGCAATTATTAAGAGATCAGTATAAACCTGATAAGATCAAAGGTACTTTATATTAAAATTAATTCCAACATTCAAGACCTATGAATAATTTCTTGTATTAGAGGTGTTTAAAATACTGTGAAGGCTATTAACTACTAATGTAGAATTTATGAGTCTGACTTTAAATTTTTGGAATCTATAAGAAACCTCTTTTTTTTATTTTAGATGGTGTTTTTGGTGCTTACATGCAGGTATCTATACAAAATGATGGGCCTGTTACATTAGAATTAGAATCGCCTGTGAGCAATGGAAAAGTAAAAAATTTAAAAGAAAAGGCTTCACAGGATCCTTTAGAATCAAATATAGATGATAGAGATAGATAGTCATTGTGTCAATAGACTAATATATATTTATTTAGCAATAGATTTGTGCTTTTATCTACACTTCTTTTCTTTTAGCTATGTGAATATTACTCCGCTTTTTGTTGTTTTGAATCCATAGGTCCGCGACTGACATGGGCAAATATGTAGTGTAATACACTTTAAAGGGCATAAGATAAACCACTGTGATTATTAAAAAAACTTTATTTTGAAGAATGGTTATTATCTATTAACATGTTAAGGTTAGGCCAGTGCGTTAGCTTAAGTAAGAATGAACAATTACAAACACAGATGATATGCCTACGCTAAGTCTATTCGATATCAATGATCAACGCAAACACACAATCGTTAAGTCTATGGTCCTCCCTGTTAACAGATAATCGACCAATATTCAAATGCGTTATACTAAACGAGTAGAAAATAAACTAAAAAATGTATAAACAGACAAAATAAATGCAATCTATAAAACCCTCTATTTAAATTACGCTGAAATTCAACAAACGAGATTAAAAGGATACTTAATTGTTTCAAATATATTAATTTATTTATCATTTAGCCTGTGTGCCTCATGATTACTATTTCTATACGGTGATATATAGATATATAATCACTGTCTCCGTTTAACGCGTACACGCCGATTCTTATAGAATTTTCAATTCAATCACCAATCAAGGCACTATTCGTTTTGGTATATTGCTGATACATCCTCACTCCTAATTCAATATCAATGCGAAAACATGCTTAAACGTGTTAGATTAATATACAATTTTTATTTCCTTAGTGATAAAATGAGAATGTGAACTCTTAAGGGCATCTACAAGTTACAATTGCTCCTAAAAGTTCAAACTCCACGAGGAGTCTATATCTAACCGAATATTATCACTATTACAAAAATATCTATGTCTAAATTAAATAGTGTTACTGGGACAGGCTAAGGATTTCATGAACATATACCTTTTCATACAAATTGGACGTAACTTTTTGTGTTTGAAAACAATTTCGTTACCTACCGCTTAAATTTAGTAGATTAAAATTATAAATTATCATTAAAATTTCAATGGAATATATTGTAAATGCGAATTTCTGCTCTGAGAATGAGTTTTATTTCAACTCTAGATTTAGTAAATACTTCATGGTAATAGATTGGCGCCATTTATACTCTTACGGATTTATTAATGAATATAGATGTAGTTCATTAAACTGAGCTTATTCATTTAAGACCTCTGTCGATACGCATCAGTATGTCTATGGTCAATTTATAAACTGTGGAAAGTGGCGCCAAACTCTTGTCATCAAGTCAAAGTCGAAAATGGAGGTTTTCGTATTCGGAAACGGCTGTTTAGTGGTTGTTGGACCGCTGCGGTTGTTATGGAGTTACCAAAGCCCAGATGAGTAGCCACCAGGAGGCACGCGGTTGTGAAGAATGCTGGTGTTTCCGTTTATCGATGTTACCATATTAATTTGACCGTTCAGTGATTTGTAGCCGTCGCCAGTGATGGGGTTGCCCTCTGAAAATTATTTAAATTCTTAGTATATATACTTACAATATAAACCATATAATCTACATTTTAAGATTGCAACTTTTTATAATAATAAAAAAAACATTACTAGTAAACTACTCTTAAGAACAACAAGGTTACCTAATAATACTGTAATATTAACGAAAATCATTAGGATTGTGATTGGAGTTTGCATTAATGTAAAATGTAGTAATGTTGATGATTTACTGATAAGTGCTATATTATATTAATGATGAATAGAGATTTTGAGAAGATTGGTTGCAAGAACATGCAAAATTATAACTTCTAAATACACCTTAAAAAAGTCTATCTAAGGATGAGTCCGTAGAAATGCTAGAAGAGAAGTACGAACACTAAATTGAATTTATCCTTATGATCAAAACATATTCTGTCGGAACTACAGTGATCCTTACAAAACATAGTAAATACTATTTACAATCTATGATAACTGAAATTCCTAGAAAGTGTAATAATTAAGATATTACTAAATTTTTGTAGTATTGACGGGGATCTAAACGTTTACAGTGAAACTTAATTTTATAATTAAACAATGAAATTTAAATTACAACACCTAAACTACACAACTGCGTGCTTCAGTCTTACACCAATAAAACAACATTATCGTTGTTAGAATCTAAGCAATAACTGGTAGTTTACGAAGAAAGATAAACTAAATTCTAACATTACAAAATATCAGAAGCTAACATATTATAACATCGACACTTCTAAATACTTATCTCGTAACATAAGCAAATAATAATGAACGGTACGAGTGCTTAATTTAGCGACTGGAAGGAATCGTCTTAAAGATTTTTGCAAATAATAATTATATCTTATCAGTGCTTTACATAATCGTAATACTGTCATTTAGTGTTTTGGTGCTCCTTCAGTCCAAATTAAACACCCACCCATCTCTCTTCGGCGAACATAGTCTACATAATACGTCTTATGCTTGAAGTCCTCCACATGCTGACGTCTATCGAACAGGAATCCGGGGACATACTCGTGGAATATTGGGGGAAACCCCGTTAGGGTGCTAGGACCGGGACCGGGTGTCGTCTGTATGGGTGTAACGTCAGGAATGGGAGCGTCTCGCTCGTATTTGAAAAGAGTCGGTGGTGGATCGAGGTTGCTAACTACAAACGGATCTACGGGACCATCTAAAGTCGGTATTGGGTTATATTTATAATCTGGCATCGGCCTTTCGCCCAACGCGGAGGTCATGCCAACAAAAGCGTGTGGGGGTAGCGGATGATGGGGTACTGAGTGTTCTTTCGGTTCCAGGTAATGCTGGGCTGGAAAGGGAGGCCAATGCCTGTCAAGAGCTAGCTGAGGCTCGATCGAGTCTGGATCTATTATTGGATGGGGCTTTTCTGGATCGTCGGTCTCAAGACCGAGAAGGGTGTAAGGAGTCTGTCGTAGCTTCAAGCTGGGTTTGGTTGTGGATTCTACATAATAGTTAGCGGGTGGAGGAGGCCAGTCGCGGGTCAAGTATCGATGGGTCGGTGTCGGTTCGAGGTATTCCTGAGTGTCAGCACCTCGTAGGGCGGCCGCCGGGTGTCTGCGCCGCTGCGGAGGCAGTTGCACACCGTCGCCGGTCACCGGGTTCCTCTTCGGCGGTGAGTACGATACTGATCATTCAGAACAAACGGTTTTCATCCGAAGATAGACTCAAATATCGGGCCCATTCAAGGGGTGTCAACGCATAGGCAATGACTTCCCTTCGACGGGTTATTACCATAAACGCCTCCCGATCTTATCGTTTCAATGTTCATGGTCGATTCTATTGTTTAGACTTTTGTTACGATGTATTGTTTATGTACATTAGATTAATCATTATGGGAGAAGTGTTTACATGTGAAGCGATCCTGTAGCGTGCACATATGCAATTGAATGTGCCCAGAGCACGCGAGCGCAGCGAGCATACGCAGAAGTCGCAAAGCAATCCAAACCAGAATTTACAACATCTGCGTATGCTTAATATTAAACGAAAGTGGAATGGAATTCGTGGAAACGGCGTTGCAACATTTCTAACGCCCAGGGAATTGTATAATTGTACGAATTCTGCACGCCACTACTTTGTTATAGCCGTGCTTAACATTTTATGGACTCGCTGGAGTCTTGAGCAATAACTTACTTATGTTGAAAGCTCGAGACATGTTAGTTATTAACAATGGGCATATTTATTTATTTCACTGCATATTTCCTAAATTACAACTTTGTTGTATTTCTAAAGCCCTAAACTTTTACAAACTTCAATGTTGAACAACGTGCTATTCCGAAAGTCTTATTATTTAGACAATTTCATTCATTTTAATGTATAGACTGGATATATAGGACTGTTATGAATACGTTGATAACTAAGTATATACTTTATAAGTTTTAGTATTTACGTGATCGAAGAATCTACCGTACTCAAGCAAAATTCCAATCCACATTCGCATGAGCGCCCGTTTAGTCAGTGCCATCGTGCCTACATCAGATTCGACTCACAGTTGTTGGCCGGCTCCCCCTCACCTCTACTGGGTGTCGACGTGGCGCTCCCGTTCATCTTGGGCGAGTGGGCTGGGCTGCCGCCGTTCATCTGCGAGTCGCCGAACTGGATGTGGCTGCGGATCGTGTCTGTTATCATCGGCGTCACGGAGGAAGATCCGCCACCCTGGAACGTCATTAGAGAAGAATGATGTACCAGAAAAATTATAGGGCAAGCCACAAAGAGCCAACGTTAGACCACAAAAGGCACGCTTTTGAAACACGATATTAGAACAATGAAATGTATGTAAATAATGAAAATCTTAGGTATGTGTGTGTGTCAAACACGTGTGTCAAAGTCCCAAAACACAAACAGTAATTAGAGCACACAATACCTGTCCAAATAGTCTGGAGTGCGTGTCCCTGGGGCGGGTGGGGGTGTCCCTTACTGTGCGCGACCGAGTCGAGCCGTTCTTGACCGGGCTGCCCCCGTCTGTCGTGTCCGCGTTGAAGATCTCCGCGATGCAGCTCTTTGGGGCATTTGGGACTCTGAAAATAAAACGATGTCATATTAGCATAAGGTAGTGGAAAGTTAAAGCTTTAGTTACGGCTAATTTTAGGCTAATCTGAATTTGGGACGTAGTATCTCTTACAGGCATAGTCGAGAACAGTTATGGTAGTTAATAATTATTTAAGGGATTATGCACAACATCTTTAGATGTAAGAAAAAGTGTTTTATTGACCATATTTGGGTTAAGAAGTGAATGCCCATAAAAGCGATGGTTTACGAAAATATAATAGTATATGGCCTGGCCTATATATCCTCGTTTGCCGCAAATTATACAAAACATAAGATGTTCATCGACGACACACCTCCCGTCACGAGGTAAACCATATTTAATCCCTTTAATATCCGATCCATTGTTTCCACTATCGTTTTACCGAAACTCGATACCAAAAATGCATTAACAATGAATGGCCCACCTGACTGGACATGCATGGACATAACTCATTACCGGAGTGCAGGAGGGGCCCATTTCCGCAGGGGACCTCCGCCGCAAATCAATACATTCTACTTTAAAACCATTACCTATTTGTATTTATTGCGGCCAGTTTCAGTTGACATCCGTTGAACTCGTAAATAGGTTGCATACCACCATTCCTACCCGGCGTTGCTCGAGTTTCAATAACAAATCAGCAATTTGGGTATAATCGTTGAAGATGGAAACACAAATTATGTTAAAATCATAATTGTTTTCACAGAAAGAATTTAGACAGATCGTAACAAATTTAAGCTTAAAGTAGATTAGGACATAATTATGTTATTTACTTAAGTACATACTAATATGAATTAAAATGATAACATTTTATCAATAATATCAAATGGGACCGATTCAACTCTCTATTTCTTATGTCCATAGATGTATGCAACGAAACAGCATTACCTTCAAACTGAAAGCTTCGTTGTTTCCAAATCGTACAAGGACGGTTTTAACTTCTTTAATCTGTATATATTTACTCGTAGAAAGACACATAGGTTTCTAATCTATAGGTTAATTATTATATTAACAATAAAAAATGTAAAGTTTGTATAAGGGCTGCGAATCGAATGTTTTTTAATGTTGAAGAGGCAATTAGCGATGTTGTAAAGTTTTTTTATGATCGAGGAGAATACATATCCGTGGGGTTTACTTAATAGTAGGCGAAATACTTCAGCCAAAAATCATATCAAACAAAGATGGGGCTTTGGATATTCGGAAATCCACAGACTAAAACCGAAACGTGATTAAACTTTTTTCACCCGGATGGAATTTCAATATTCCTACCTCCTATTTTGCTATCCAAATTTCCAGACAAAACCCAACATTGGACAATTTCAACAACGAACCCGTCGAAAGCTTTAACACCATCTAACTGAAAAGCAAAGTTCGCGGTCATTACGTAATTGCTACAGAGTTCAGAGGAAAGGTGTAAGTACGAGTGTAATAATATCATAGAGGTTATTAAGGTCGTGCGCATTACAAAACTTGGAGAGGGGTTAACGAGATGCCATTTAAATGTCTCAACTCTCGTAAGGAGTGATAAAACGTAACGCCTAGTTAAAACTTAGTACTTATTAGGTAAGATGCATATGGGTAAGTAAATCACGAGAATTTTGAGACGATGCAACTACAGGAAATAAAAAGAACTACTCTTTTATGCGTTTATTTTTATTTTTGCCTTTGTTTATCACAAGTTTAAATAAAAAAGCGTCGTAGATAAACTTTTAATGCCTAAAAAAACCTTCACAGATCTTCTTCACAAAATCTATCTTCTCCTACTAAATATTATCTAACAATTTACGATCACAAATATATTACGGCTAGGACTGACATTTCATGTACAACTGTCACATCTAGTTTAACAAGATATATATATTAGATAATAATCAATCTCGGTCGCAATAAAACTGAGTTAAACCGGAAAAGTATATCATTTCTTCGTTTAGCCATTAGCGTTTAGTTCTCTGGTTGTGTTATCTGGCAGTGCATTACAATTTATGTACACTCGTGTAATAAGCATCAATTCCAAGAGCGATCAGGCAAAATTATTCGAGCGTGTTCGAAACACGTGAAAGCTAATAAATATCTCCGCATCATTGTATGCATGCTTTTGGAGGTGTTAACGAATGAATTAAGCTACGACTCAGTGAAAAATACTTACAATCATGGCATGCTCTAATATGACAATTATTTTTGAGAACAAGTAAACGACTTCAAGAGGAAAATTAAAAAGAAAAACGATAAATTTACCTCGCTCGAGTAATACGTATTTTAACTGAGTTTGCGTTTGTAGTCGGTATAATGTTTTGTTGTTAAATGTCTAATATTTTCTGTGAGAATAAGTTATGCGCCAACAAACATAAAAAGCATATATATGGATATATGGAATCGAATTGAAAACGATATAAGTTAAATAATGATTAAAGTTTCTTAAGCCGCAAAGGAATATAATAAGAAATTTGTTTGTTCGTAAACTGCATCCGGTCACATATATTTCTTTATTTGTTCATAGTATAAAACAGCCGCCAATTATAATAGTATATTTTGATGCCAAAAATTGACCATACTAATAAACGAAATATTTTAGTCGATAGGTTTTTACGCGGCCTCGTTAAACCGCATGCGATCGTAAATCGCTTTCGCCTACTGTTTATTACAAAAAAATGTAAATGCAAGTACGTACACAATAGATTTATTTCACTGCCGACGATTTCAGTCGAAAGGAGAAAACAAACATTTGCAGGCCTCGTAAATCTTAAACGAGCGTTCTTTACAACCGTCAAGTCGTTGCAAATAGGCTATTTCGTCTGCGATTGACAATGGACTGTAATATTGTATAAAACTACGAGTCAAATCTGTAATTTAACTTTTTATTTCTTAACTTTCATTAAAAAGATATTACGATAAGATATAAACATGGACCAAAATTCCATATTTAAACGCAATAGCGCCAAAATCGATTTATTTAAAATAATGCTCGATCATAAGTTGGATTTGTGTTACTAGTATCTACATTCTCAATTCATTCTAAACAAGATGAACAATGCAGAATGCTTTAATAAATTCTGATACGACACTCACGACTAAGTTGACGGCGACCGCATCGCACAGTAGCGACAGTAAATGCCCCGAGGGTATCTAGATTTCAGATCGTAGATGGAGCGAGTACGATACGAATAATATGAAAGCTGGATGAGGAACAACGAGGGCATTCTTCTTCACATTTATATATACGTTTCAGATTTCATCGAAGTTTTAAAGATATACTATTTAGTTACAATAAATTTAGCTAATGTCTTCTAGTCCTATGCCAAATTAAATTATGTTTTTTAAAATAAAAAACTAATATATATATTTAAATTTACTCGTTGGAGCAAGATGTCCCGGACTTGACCCAGAAACACGCAATAATTAGTTTTCAGTGGCATAAAAAGGGTCAACGAACTGTCAGTAAATCAAATTGTATCTTGAAACAGATAACCAATTCTTTCTATTCTATTCCCCACGAATAACTATATATAATAATAACTGACTTGAAGGTTCTATGCTGTTCAAATACAGCGCTCTCCGTAAATCACGTACAAATATTTGTCTATGGTAGAGCACAGACTAAATAGCACACCGCATCGCAGAAGTGAATCGATAGCGCGCTAGTGCGGTTTCCGGCCGCTATGCACCACTGCTCGTCTGTCACATGAAAACGCCTACAGCCATGAACAGACCGCATGCAACACCTTGTTATCATTAATTTTGATTAATTTTATAACAAAAATTGACAGATTGCTTTCTACATAAAACAATAAGAAAATTATAATTGAGCTCTAATCCACCATTTCAGGACTATGTTTCGAAACCAAACCTTTTATCACACATCTTTGAAAGAAAAGAGTCCATACAATTAAAATTATACTTTTATTTTCAAACTATATACGATAAAAACACTAAACAACAGCATTCACGCCTCTAACGATGATCGTAGACAGCGTTACGTCGTAAGATGAGAAAATTGCTCACAAAAATAACATAGGGCCCGTGCTATAATTATACAAGGGAAGAAAGTGCGTGAGAGTAAATTGTTTAATATTATGGTAGACGAATGCGTTGCACGCAATCGAATAAGGGACCGTTCGCTCGTCGACTCTATTATAGTTATTTGTTGTTGCTACAATGAGACCTGTCAAAATTAGTACAAGAATAATTAATGAGGACATGACAGCCAGTTTGTAAAAGAGGAATGTCTATTTTATTTTGGAATGTGCTTATATACCTGTCAGCTGTTGCGTATATTTTTTTAATTTTACGATTATATAACCTCTTATGAGCCGTAACAAGTGAGAGATTTAATTAATTAACTTAATCCAATATTTTATTTTGGAATACGTTATATACTTACGTTTTCCCGTGCGTGGGTTTTTCGATCTTCTTTTAACTAATATATATCGCGTTTTATTTAAATGTGTACTACTCGCATAAACTAAAGACAGTAATTGGTTTCTTTTGTTTTTTTTTACCTAAGTAAGTAACAAACCTTAGCATGACTGATTACCACCCCAATATCCAATGAAGTATGTTTTATCTTTGAAAATCTATGCCACCAGCACAGACTAAAAATCTTATATTTCGCAGCGGAGTACCGAGTAGGTAAATTAATACGCCCCATAATTATTGTGTCCCAGTATCATAAATCCATTTACTGCTCCGAAGACACACCAGATAGTGTCACTCCTCGAAGTAGACGTGGTAATATGAATCTGCAATCGACATTCGACACGGCCCAGCCGGACTTGTAATGATGTAGTGTTTAATATGTATTTTATAATCTTCTGCACTCGAACGACGTGGAGTAATGATATTGGAGATAATGTAAGGCTAGCAAACATTATCACACACTGAACGCGGGGAGAAATTGTTCTTCCTTTAATGAAAGTAAATATTATAGTGCACTAGTCTTATACTCTGTGGTTGAGTAAGTGAGGACAGATTACACACTTTCGCGCCGTTTCAATTATATTACCTAAGGGCGTAACTATATACCGTTTAGAGATTTCATAAAATTAGTCCAACACGAACATACGACATAGATTCCCTTATGATTTGTGATGAGCTTCATTGTCTAATAGTACTTTTTTTAACAGTTTAAACGCGAAATTTATTAGCTAACTTGCAAACCATCCTTGAAACGTCGGGCCGTAGTAAAAATAAATTGTAAATAAGTTAACCCTTAAAAGTGTTTTATTTAAATTTGTCAGACATTACTTAGTGAGATAATTTCCTAAAAAAAAATAAAATGTTTAAAAAAGTTATTAGTGATATGAAGTTTTTGGGTGTTCTTCTCGGTTATGTTGCTCTTTTGAACACTTTGTAGAATCACGACGAACGGACAGACAAACATATTTTAAAATATTTTTTTGACGAATCTAAATAATTTTAATAATTAAACAGATAATAAAGTATATTTTATTTTATTTTTATTTACTTTAAAAGCTATGAAAATCTCTTTGCTATTGAAATAACAGCATTTATTTTCGATGGAATAAACCTGACAAATCGAGCCCACTTCTTCAACTTTCCAGAAAATATTTATTAAGTAAACGAATAGAACCTTAAAAG